ATCATGCATCACCAGCTAGCAACAGATGAAGATGGAAATCAGGGTTGATCGAGGATTTTTTCCTTGTAAGGGAGGCGATGAACTGCATTCTATTAGGTCCTCTTCAAACATGTGGAAGGTTTCATTTGAAGGCAAAGGTCAGGCTTGATCTGACGTTTGAAAATAAGGGTAGATATGCGAAATGGAACGATAGCGAAGAAAAGAAGAAAAGCAACCGTTGACAAGGCTGAAGATCGAACTCCCTCTACAACAGCAGCGAAGGTATAGCGGAGAGGCTTGTACGAATGAGTCACGCCGGCAACAGTACTGAATTGCAAAACCTGTGCTCTACCGTTAGACACCTGATTTCATGCACCCGTTTTTCTTAGAGAGGTTGGACAATATGAGTGCTTCCTCAACCATAATTTGTCTACTTTTTTTGGGCTATCACACCAAATCTTCAACATAGCACTTCGAGAATGCTTTATTACGCGTAGGTTTCCTAGCACACAAAGAATTCGAGCTGAAGTTCTGCGTGTATGACCCCCATCTTCAAAATTTTGCGATTATAGTCACCTTCAGTTCTTTTTGGGTTTTGTTTATTTTCCTCCGCGGTTATTTCAACTGAATTGGCACAACTGCGGGAATACTGCGGATAGTTGTGTTAGCTTAAAAGTACGCTCCGCGATCAGGCGCGCTCACCTGTTCCATTCCGGGAGTGGTAGAATGCGGACAAGCGTTCATGTCGCGCCTTTTTTGCGGCTTGAAAGTGCGCGACAAAGGCGCAAGGAGCTCGTCCCACCCTCCGCTGTCAGTTACCACGTGGCGCTGCTTGAAGAGCGTGGGCCATTTGAGGTAGTGTCCTAACGCGACCTAATGTCATTGGCAGTGGAGCAACTAGATAGGTTCGTTGAACTCGTCCAACGCGCCCCTTCTCTATCTCAAGGTTGAATGTGGCTGGAATTGGGAAGGTCTCTGTGCGGGGCGCACTCGGTAGTTTCGTTTGCTTTCCTTCGCTTTTCCAGACCACCTCCCACCTCTAGCTTCACAAATAACCGCTTGTCCACACCTATTTCTATCCAGAATCTTGCCTTCAAATCAAAGCCAGGCTGAGGACTTCTTGTGCTCTTCCCAACATTTCTTCAGGTGTCTCTACATGTTTGAGTGAATGACCAATAGAAGGAATCAGGTTGGTGACACGAATTGAACATGGAAATATTGAACCAGTAGTGTGAAAAAGTATGCTGCAGAAAGAGAGAGGACCTCATTTTCGATGTATTCCACTTCTTCTCTTAATTTCTACTGTAAGTCAACCTCGTGCATCTATTCATGATCCGACGCTACTAGGTACACTAACTTGATCGTGGGGTGTCTAGGTCGTTTTTTTCCCCAATGTTGCAGAATCCGTCTGCCTTGAGCAGCGTGCATTATTAGAGTAGCCCGTAATCTAGCTTATTCACGAGTGCATTGACTCTCTATATTTATGAAATAGACTAGAGTTTAGTCCATGTTCAACCTTCTTGCAATTATGGCATGATTACTTCAGTAGAAATGATTCGCCAAGCGTTTTAAGATTGAACTCTTTATACAAGGCTTATGTTTCGGCTTCTTCACCTTGATCAGCCTAAAATGCATGTGTAACTTGCTCGCTCAAACGCCTCAACAAAAAACTCAAGACTATTCCACTAAACTGGGAAACTTTCAAAAGTATTGATCGATAGAGGAATGAGACTGCTCACTTTGAGCTCCGCCGCAAAGACAGGAGGACGACCACCCTCGTAGTAACTAGTATGCGGTAACATAGTAGTAGCTCCCACCGATTTCATGGTAGATCAAAGGTTACAAAGGTCGAGGAAGGGTGCCGCGGGTTATGGCCACACACTCTCCCTTCCCGTTTATTTGAGGGTCTTTAGCAGTGATTCAAAATGCTTCCAGCGTCTTGCGCCCCACGATCACGGGTTCCAGCTGCAATATGAACACGGAAACGCCAAACGATGAACCTGCGTGGTATATAACCCGATGAGCTCTTAAGGGGGTATGTGTTTGTGATCTACCAGTCCATGCTGTTCCTTAAGCCGCACGCATAGGGGGCGACCTGTAATACTCACTTCTACAACTTTGACAGCGTATTGAGTAGATCACTCCCACCTTCATGCAGTCACCTTCTTTGCTATAAGGGCATACCACACAGTTAGTTGTGTCGCACGATTGCGAATAAGATACCTTTGAAGGGTGTTTGGAGAAATTTCGAAAATCTTCACATAGTCCTGGAGACCTCACCGATGCACAATTGATCGGATAGATCTGCTCACTTGTTCGGATATGAAAGGCAAACAAAAAGTCACCTTGTCGGAAGGTGTTCTTTCGCGGACTGTCGAAGTAATGAAATACCTCCGTCGCGTTGACCCACAGCACGGGTACTTCGACAGTTAAACATTTCTAATGAGACTAGAGTTCATTTGTGTAGGGAAGTGAGAGGCCTATCAATGTCAGCTTTGGAACACTCTGAATTGCGGTCTCCACCTATCTTTTGTTTGAAATTACGCAGATGGGATACATCCCCCTATAGAGCCGGCAGATTATCTGAGGTGGTGAGAGCTGTGTTTTTGGAGTCTTGAATTTCCCAATATCCGAGAATAGATAAAGTTCTCATTCCTGATCAAGTATGGACTAAAAACTCGATAGCATAACCCTAAAAATGGCCTAAGCAATTAGGCTGCTATTTGAATGATAACCGTGCTCTAGTATACAGGGTGAGAAGAATCACGGTAACAAGATGAATTGTTCATAAAAAACCCAGTGTTTCGGAAAAGATCCAACTCAAGAATACCATCATGTTGACAAACAGAAAACGGTATTACTCTTTGAAGTGAATGCTTTCCGTATTGATGCATGAACAATGTCTTCCCAGGAACGTCCCCGTTGTGAAGGTCGGTATTCCCCAGTAGGTTCACGGCCTTCAAGAGCGGCTTTTCACTAATCGATGTTGCGGTTATGGTCAGAAAAGTGGTTTGTCTCTGGCGCATTCAAAAAAAAACTTTCATAAATTTTGAGTGCGAGGTTTAGGCAACAACTTTTTTAATGTGATGAATCCCACGGTATTCTGTTGTAAGCACTTTTCGACGATTCAGAGGGGCGTCCACGTAATGAAGCGCTTAATCTTGCCCCATTGTCCAGTGTTTCCTGTGAAGATGCTGTTGGCCCTGGACATCTAAATTAAGAAGCTCGAGATGATTCTTTCAGTCTAGTTTGATATCATGGGCAACAAAAGTCCGAGGTTTTTCAAACTCATGCTTCTTGCGATTATGACTCCTGCGAAAACCATGACTAAATGAAAAAGTCGGCTTCCCAATGATATTGCAACAGCAGAATACTTTTTCATCAATTATAGCAAAGCCAACAAAGCCGACAAATCAAGCCCATTGCGGAATCGAGACAACGTCTCTTATAATCTTTGTTTTTCCCTCAATTGCTCGCATCGGTAAGAAATCAGAATTTTATGTTTATATATGTGGCTTTCTCTCAAGTAACGTGTAACAACACGTCGCAAGAAGGTGCGCTCGTCAGCAATCTTAGCGAACCAACAAGGGACTAACGCGACTGGGTTTCAGAACAGTTTGCATGTGTCTTCAAAAAATTGCTTTTGGAGTCTCGGAAGTTATCTTCTCCCGACCAGGCCTGTGATGCTGGTGTGCAGCTGGTGGGAGAATAACCCTTGATAGTGGGCCATAAGCGTCAGTGGCGGCAGGAGAGCATAACAACAGCATCTTTGCACAACAAAACGGCGGCTTGAGCAGAGTGCTGGATGTTTATTTAGTAAAACAAAAAGGTCACACTGCTGATCCTTGTCGGTTTCTGAAAATTGAGTGTTTATCGAGACATATGACCAGCAGCAAAAATTGTTTATTTCTATGAGAAGGCGTTTCAACTTTCAGGTCGCCACCAAAAATGAAAGTAAATGTAATCGCGGGGCAAGTAAGCAGTTCTGCAGCGTAGTCAGACTTTTCGGTCAATCAGCGTATGAACGAGCAGGAAGAGAACCTCGTCGAGTAAGTAATAAAATGCTTAATCAATCACGAGTGATTGCGATGTCATGCTTTCCAAATATCCCTCCTACATATAAAAAACGCTGTATCTCTCTGTTTGTGTGTGTCACGAAATTCATAGCAGCACCACAGCAGTCGTCAGGAGCTGATTTTGGGATATGATGTAGGGGTGGGAGTGGAACATATTTGGTGGGGGTCAGAAACGATGTGATAAGGATGTGAAATGATGTGATATGATGATAGTGATAACGACTGATGAGATCTGATAAGAGACATTAGAACGCGGATGTCATGAAATGCATGGCGGGCGACCCAGTAGCAGTGAGGCGTTGTCTTTCAACCTTTAAACTGGTTTATTTTCATATGGCACTTGCACCACATTCGTCTGGTATGGACGGACCAAGAGATGCGATTTTCGGATGTACGCTGTGCAGACCATTCTTGGTTTTACGATGTTGGTGCCCAGCAACCGTCACAACCGCTCCGTGTCATCATCCCCTCGTAATAATACCGTATTTCAGGGTTTTCACTACTTAATAGTGATACTTGTTTAGAAGCATCACGTTGTCCTGTCGAAGGCCCAACCCAGGCAGGAGTCGTGTGAACGATCACCTCCAGTCTGTAGGATAGATTCCTAGAGGACAATCAAAGATGTGGCATTCCCGTGCACGGAAGTCACCCGACAGACCGCTAAGCCTTGCAAAGTGAGACGCAGCGACTGCCGTTTTTTTAATCTTATCAGGCTGCTGTCTGACGCCCTCTCATCTGTTGCGCTTTCTCCCCTCATACTACACTCTCCCCGCTCGGTCTCTCATCGCTTCAGCAAAGCCGATTACTAAGGTGAATAGGTCCTTAATCTAAGATTTTCGACGGAATCTTATCCTTTTTTCCTTACTACTCGCCCATTTCGCACCATTACTTCGTATCAGGATCCACACTAATTTGATGTTAGCGCATGCCTTTAAGGTTACAGAAGGAACAACTGCTAGCTTACCTGAACGTGAGGAACACGATTATGGGTCAACAATAACGTACAGTACTGCAACAGATATCTCAACGAGCAGTTCGACGACTCTTGAGACAGGTGATATAAAACGATTAAAATGATTACTATGCTATTGGTGGGTTTAACGCGCAGCAAGGTAAGTGAAGTTTGCCAGAAAGCGTAGCAAAAATAGGGATGGCTCTATTCTGCACCGCTGCAGTCCCGTATGATGCACGCGAATGCGTGCGTAGCCAAGCTGGTATATTGATGAATCATTAAATTCCTAACTTACAGTAAGGTACATTACCACGACTGACATCCCGAAGAGCAAATGGACGACTAGCGAAATAGGTTGCATGGAGTCGTATCTGTATGTTTCTCTATCATAAATTTTCCATCTTACAGTAGCTCACACTGCAACTACCGACATTTCAAGCGACTGGAAGACCAGTGAAGGAGGTGATATAAGGCGGATCCACATATTTATGTATTATGATGGTCTAACTTTTAGTGAGCTACACTGCTACGACTAAGATTCCGATGAGCGAATGGACGACTGGTGAATCAGGTTGTATGAAGCGTATCCGTATATGAATGTATCATGAAACTTCTGTATTACAGAACGGTACACTACCACGACTGACATTTCAATGAGCGAATATACGACTGCTGAATCAGGTGATACGTCTACCTGTAAATATATCCAAAAATTTCTAACTTTCCTTGTATTCGTATCAGAAAACACGGACGAAGATACAGCGCGTTCAGATATGGCAGAGCAGGTGAGGGAGCCGTACGGGATCAGCATTGAAAGCAGACATTACTTCGCACTCGAACAAATAGAAGAGAGCTGCTCGTGAACGTTGCCAGTGCACCGTTGAAAGACCGCGAGATGCAGCTAAGACCTCCAATGCTTCCGATTGGTGGCCATGGTTGGCAGCGAATTGTTTGCAACGGCCACTTATTTGTGCTCACCCGCACGGCGTGCTCCCTCCCTTGTTCTGCCATATGACCATGAAGCAGCTTTATCAGTGGAGAGTTCTCCAGTGAGGATGGGTCTTATCTTGCTTTTGAACCGGTACCCCGATGAAAGTACCAGATCATTAGACAGGTGTACTTTAATCGTGAGACTAAAATTTTCATTGTTGTATTTTTTTATTAGGGGCTTAGGTTTAGTGAGCGCGGTAGTATGCATCAGCTTTAATGGTATTGATTCCTGAGAGTTTTCCTATCAAATAAGTCTTATTACTCTAATTCAGCGACACTTGCCAAAACTCACGCGAAAGGGTTGTCAACCTCGGATGCGGCATACCAATACACACCGATATTACTAGCATTCATCATACTAATATTTATACTTATTTTGATTTGATTGTTGTTAACAATGCTATGTGACAATGTTTCTCAATAAAGCCTGTTCAGTACTTTTGTGTTTGACTGCAGGTATGCATTCCTTACTACAGTGTATGATCAGCATTCAAGACGGAGTTTACGTTGAAACGGCAGCAGACCAGAGATGCAGAGAGAGGTGGTCAGTGTGCAGGGATGACGAAAAACCACGAACGACCCCCTTCGCTGCGAAAAGCGGTTTGTCCAGCACTTTTGTCAGTATGGACCTCGCTCGCTTTTTGACTAGGTAAGTTTTTCCTACTTCAACTCCGATCTCATTGTGGAATGCTCCTTCAAATCGTAAATGTTGGCACGGCATAGCGATAAATAGTGCCAACATGCAACGTGAGAGTGCTATCTGATTGTTGTGCTTCAACAGTCATTGTTTCTAAGCGTCTTCAGCGTGTTACGCCAAATACAAAGCTAGCAGAAATTGATCCAAGCACTAGTTCGGCAAACATCGAAGCATGGAATCGCGAAACTCGAGTGCAAGGTCAGATCCGACACACTTGTTATCACGGGTGAGTTCAGCGCTGCTTAATCTGGTTGCTTGCAATGGGCAGCCCCGCGCTTTTGAGTATGCTCAGTTTTCTATGCATAATCTATCAAAATAATAGATCCGAATTGAGCGAATCAAATATAGAAGCAGGTTATCGCGTGTGCAGAAGGCCCAACTCACTGTTTTTTTTTGTGAAAAAACACCAGTCGGGGCTTCTTTTTTTCCAACTGTAGAGAAGCAAAACATCCACCACCCCTGTGATGTGTCGAACATCTTGGCGCAATAAGACTCGCTTCATTCAAACACTTTTTGGACTACTCTCATCTATTAATACATAATCTATTTCTTGGCCGGCTTCTTTCTTTCCCTAAACCGACCACTACATGACCATCCTACTATATATGGTTTTCAGAAAGTAATCGGTTGCGAGATGTCTTTGCCAATACTTGAATTTGTAAACTGAAAATCCTTGAGAACCTGAAGACCTACACATTTTGGGACCTAGGTCTATCTTCTTTCCTCCAGTATTTGAAATTCAGTTTTACCATTGTCACATTGGGTTTTTAGGCATGAACTAACGTTCCATGATAACCATAATTCTAATCCCTAAGCTCATTGATATTGTTTGACGAGTGAGTCTTGACAGTCTTAATTGCTTAGCTTTCGGCTATAATGCCACATCAGACCTTAACTTACAAACCAATGTGCACATGAATCAACTAGTTACAAAACACTATACATCAATACGTACCAGCGAGAGAAGGAGAGTAGTGGGACCTTTCAGGGTCTGGCGTGTATGACATAAACGTGTCATGACAGAGGTTTGAGCAACTTTTCTTCAATGTTCTGAAACTCTGACGTAGTGCTCCATAAACCTGTCGGTGTACCATTGAAGGATGGGGCCGAAGAAGTATCTTTAAAAGAGCGGCACAGCCTTGGCTCCAAAAATTTGGTTAAGAAGAATTTCATAGTGAAGGTAATGGTAGTCATGAGCACGGTTCTGCTGTTGACGACGGCCTTCTGAAGATTCCAGTAGAAGATTATTCCAGCCTAATTGTGCTATGGCAAGTAGTAGGACTAGAAGTAGGTATATTAGAAATGTTGTGGCTTTTAAAGATAATTGGAGTGGTTGAAAGCTAAACAGGTGGCTTCCGCATTGGCTGACTGAATTAGCGGCAATACCATCTTTCCAAGAGGTTTCGTTTCCACCCTTTTACATAGCAAAAACTGCTAGTATTCGGGCATTGTCATCTGCGACAGCAATTGAGCTTCTTACAATTATAGGAAGCCAGCTGTCTAGTAGTTTGACGGCTACGAATTTTCAAAAACTTCTACAAAGAAGAAATTATCGAAGATTAAAGTGAAGCTGAACATGCGACTGTCTTCCACGGGACTGATCCAACTCAACTCTTGGAAACGGAATTTTGATTTGAATTTGACACAACACCAACGTCTCTCCAGCACACTGTTGGGAAAATCAAGTTCGTCAACCGAGAGAAGTAATCAAAGCTTCCTTCATGGTGGCGCTCAGCTACACGTAGCATAAACGACTACGCAAGTATTGAACAAGCTGGGGTACGAAGCTTCGATGCACGGGTCTTACTCAACGGATCCTCACCAATACATCCTTTTCCAACCATGTCGACAGCTTCTTGGGTTAGAAATGCTTCAATGTTCAAACTGATGTGAAAATGACGCTCGGCGATATCATAGCCTCCAGAAGGGCTGGTTTCAACCTGGGGAGGACATTTCAGTACGCATCTTATCAAGAAAGGATATTGCTTTCCAATGGTTTCTATTGCGAGAAAAAGGTTTAATTGAGTGGAAGCATGCCTCTTGAGAAAAAGGAGGTCAAAGACCCGCATCACTTTCCGAACAACCTGATATAATCGGCTAAGTGTGTTTGTTTCTGTGTGTGTGTATGTTTGACCGTAAATTCGTACCCGAGTCACCACTGATAGTGCCATGGTTCTTACATATGTTATGGGGGTGGGATGGAGACACAAAAGGTGAGTGATGCAAACTGATAACAATTGATAAGAACTGAAGAGGACCAGAAAGCCATTATCACAAATTTCGTTTTGTCGTTCAGATTGGTACTAGGCTGTCCATAATTACAAGGGTTATGAGGGGTGGGACGGGGACATTGTTGATCGGCGATTGAAAGTGATTGCAACTGATAAGGGCTGATAGGGCGCGTCAGAACTCGAAAGTCGCCAATTCCATCGCGCAGCCCCCTTTGACACTGCAGAGTTTTCACTTACAAGTGACACGTAGAGGAAAATGGGACATTGCTCGTCGGTGGGAGGACGATCGCAAGTCATAGGGGCTGCCGGAGCGCTCTAGAAAGCAAAAGTTGCCATTCCGTTCCGCAGCCCACGTTGACTGTGAGTGTTTTTACTTAAAAGTTTTCTATGGGGTGGGACGGGAATACTGTATCGAGATGACCAGTTTAGCATGAACAACCACCTGATGGCGTTGAGCACATTGCTTTTCAAAGCCGAAGTACGGTTAGTATCTCATCCTGCCGTGCATATTTTCAACGTCATTCTTACCGCGGTGTTAAAAGCGGAAAAATCTACTAAAGCGCTGAAACATTTGAGTTCGATACCATTGCTGAATGCTTACTGAATCTTGATAAGTACCAGTCTCATTCAGTTTGGTATTGCGCGTGCTACGCGATAATCTTCAGTGGAAGGACAACCACTGGACTTCATCTAGGGCATTTTGGAGCATTTCACAAATGATTTCTCGGCCATGTGACCTAATACCTATTAGTTGTCCTGTTCCGCTGAAGCCTACCATGTGATGCGAGCGGTTGCGTGCGGAGGTAAAACTTTGTAATAACGGGACATTATCAGTTTCATTGACCTGGGATTAGGCTACTCTTTCCAGTGTGTTTCATTTTAGAAGGCTATGTTTACTCGGTGAGTACGGTTAATGGTGGCAAGCAGTGGAATATTGTGGAAGGCCTCAGGTGCTGAGTTAGGTTTTGAGAGTTAGCGGTATTAGGTGCCTGCCAATACTCTGTAAAAAAGCTCAAATAGTCCACGCACATTGAAGAGCTAGTATGCTCCTACTAAGCATGCTCACAGAATCTCATACGAGTCGACAGAGAGAAGAAATTTTACTCTCCGGAGCCTCGTCCTCTGGGTGACTTTATATTTACATTTTTTGACATATCTAAGAAATTTGGAATTGTTTCGACGTAAGCTCGAAAACTAAGAAGGTGAGCCGATTTTCAGAGCTTCCTAGTTTCCTAGTTTGTGATCGAGTAGCTTCCAAATTTCAGCTATAGTGATACCTATGTGCTCACAAGTAATAAACAATGCTAGAAGAAACATTTCTTCACGGAAAAAATTCAGGTCCGAAAGGGTTAAACGCGGAGGAAATTTTTGGAGGTTCTTATAGAAACTTTTGTAGCCGATATTACTTTCTGAAACTTTCTGAAATGGAAAATAGTTCTATGTATAATTTGTGAGCATGAAAGTGAATTAAGGAGGAGGGTAGAGGAGGACCAAAGCAGACAATAGCGGCGTTTCCGCGGTTTTCCTAAACAGAGTAATGGTGCAAAAGCGCGACGGAATTCAGGCATACCGTAATTCAGACTTGCCGTTGTGATTTTTGTGTTCCCTTCCGGGTGCCTTTATATTATGCCGCCCCACCTTGACATCTTACAATTAGGCCCCGTTCATAGTTTGAGAATAGGCTATTTTGCGAAGGCGCGACTGGTAGCACGTTCGCAAAGGAACGCACGCGCCGCGACGCGTCAGGAATCAATCAATGACTCATTCATAGACTTGAATCTTATCTGTCGCCACGTATCAAATCCTTCCACGCTGGTCGCCCCATCGCATCTTCGTCTCGCGCGATCGCTGAAATCCAGACGCTATCTCGCATGTGACGCTTTAAGACGGAGTCGAGCCAATCAATATGCACTCACTTCATTTGATAGAATCGCTTGGTCGCATCATCGCATCTTCGCATATAAGCCGATTCTCAAAGTATGAACGGGGCTTTACTTTCTTCGCTTTCGCGCGAATGCTTCTCCTGCGCTGGACGAGTGCATATTGTCATAACGCTTACCCATGAAATAACGAATAATAGCATTATTATGAAAGATATTGTGTAATGGGGGTATGAAGAGATATTGTAATGGGCACCAAAGCGCAACAGCGTGGTTTTCAATCCTGAAGTTGAGAAGACGGGAGTAAAGAGTGTGGTGTCTTTCCATGCTCAGGAAACTATGTTGGGCTTGTGTTCTTGTTTTTATTTCACACTTTGGCGAATTTACACCACATTTGGCAGTGTAATCTGGTATCACAAGTTTTGTCGTTTGGATACATCGCATTTGCAGGATCTGCAAATCATGCTTGCCTTTTATTTATGTGAAGAAAGCTCTCCCGACGTTCAAATTAATATTCGCGTCGAAATCAGGGGTACAACGTAATAACAAGTCCACGAATGGTAGCGGGGAGTCTATG